TAGTTACTTTATCAGAGGATTTGTGAGGACCGCCAAACCAATGAGCCGTTGAGGCTAGCCAGGATGCCTCTTTACTTCCTTCGCAGTCATGAGTCAGTTTCACACGGCCAATCTCTTCCCAGAAGCCCCTTTTTGTGCATATAGCCAATCTTCTCATGGCTCTCCAATCTTTATAATCCTGAAACGATTTGTTTGCGCCCCTACTCAGTTAAGGGAAACACAGCAGGGACAAGTGAACTGATAATGTTCCCATAATGGCACGATTTTGCTACAAATGAAGAACAAAGAAAGGCGTCTGCAAATAACAACTCGACATATATGGAAGTCAAATTGTTCAGGTAAAACAAAGAGAGACCATGTGGACTGGATCAGAACTTCTTGATGAAGTCGTAAATGTGGGTGCTAATGTCCCCTGCTGCTTCTTGATGTGTTGAAGTGACCTACTCCTTCCTGAACTACCACTTCCTCCAAATTCGGCACGTCTTTCTTGAAACGACCACTCTGTATGTACTCACGTATTCCTGGCGAAGTGTATACCACGTCTAAGTCACCTGTTATGAACTTAACTGGAACTTTCACTTGCACCCCAGTCCATGCTGCTGTGAGTTCCCAGTTCTGCAGCACAGTCATGCAACAACCTCTCAAAATATTGCTAACAATGATCAGAAAATGACGTTCCCAAAATTTACTTCCTCGACGAAAGTGTTTCTGTAGGTGTAGTTAAAACATCACTTCAGCACAATTAGAGAGGCAAGGGATGAAAAATAGAGAATAGGAACATACAGATCGAGATTTCTGTAGTAGTTCAACCCTCCAGTGAAACCAGATTTGTCAAACTTAGAGGCATAAAAACGCAGGTCTTCTTCCGAAAGCCAGGAGGGCAAGGCCTGAGTGGTATTTGCATTATGCCCAAACCCTTCTTTTGAAATGATTGGGGGACCAGTATTTCGTGTTGTGAGGACATGCTTCAGTACTTGTTGGCAACCAATTCTGGCCATCTCAGCTTCTGCCTTCCCTGGCTCCTGTCACAATTAAACCACCGCATAGTACATGTCATCTACAATCTACCATTTCAATACCAAGGACTCATGATCTTATCTTTTATCAAATAAATTATCATATGATTGAAACATGAGTGAAAATCTAAGCAATCTATGCAAATTGACGGATTAAGATAACCAAAATAAAAAAGTTAGGTTACTGACAGTAAAGAAGTGTAACCACAGTTCCCAAATCAGAGCCATCAACATTTCCTTTTATCTTTATTATTGTGATGTGATTGAAATCTTTCATTTGGACAGTGATACAATTCCTCTCTTGATATAGGCGTCACATGATAGTCGAGTTTGGAAACTATAGCACTCTTATTTACTTTAGGATAAGACGTTTTTATTTGCTTTTCCTCCGTTGATGTCTTGCTTCCCAAATTAAAAGCCCAGGTCACTCGTTTCGTGTCAGTTTTGCAAAGGAGATATGAACAGGGGACATCTTGAGGAGGTCAGTTAGTTTGATAGTACTTCCCGAAAAGGAAAGGATGGGGGAACAGGTCGAAGAAGTACTATGAACAAGAAAACCAAAACAATGATCTAGTTGGATATACAGATTTTTTGATCCTGTAGCAGGTAACGCGAATCATTTTTAGATCTGATGAAGAATAGATAGAAGTACCTGGAATCTGCAGATATAGTAATCCTCCCCATAGACGGCTCGAAAGCCATCAAGCGGCCTGACTCGGGGGTTTCTGGGCATGAGTGGCACACTGAGGCAGACATAGGCCTTGACTCTATCAGGACGAAACATGCACAGGTACCACCCTATGATGGCTCCCCAGTCGTGAGCCACGAGGAACACTTGATCCACACACAGAGAGTCGATGAGGGCGATGATGTCACCCACGATATGAAGGCAGGTGTAGCTGTTGATGGAAGCCGGGGCTTCGGTGTCGCCGTAGCCGCGGAGATCTGGAGCAACGGCTCGGTAGCCAAGTGAGCTGAGAGCCAGAATCTGGTGGCGCCAGGAGTACCACAGTTCAGGAAAGCCATGGAGGAACAACACCACCGGGCCTTCTCCTTTCTCTGCAACATGCATTTTGATGCCATTCACTTCCACTGTTCTGTGCACAATTCCTTCCATTTTGATGATCTGACTTGTTTCTGCAATGAAATGTGAGGGATTTGAGCTGAACGTGCAAGGGGCAAAAGGCTAGGGAAACCTTATAACAGCTCTCTTTCTCGAGATTGGGGAAAAAAAACCAGATATAATAAGGAAGTAGTGAGGGATGATTATAAATAACATAGATTTATATTATTATACTGCAATATAACTTACAGATAAAAACTAGTAGTCAATACAACTCTCTTTGGTATCTGTCTCTCACGATTCTTCTCTGTTAACGTAGGCCAAACTTTTGAGATCAATTAAACATCAATAGGTTCTCATCAGGTAGTCATTTAGATCCTTCCGCACACGACCTAGTCCCTATATATACAGTTCATCGTTAGCTATAAAAACACGGGTGGCGACGAAAATTACAAAGAAATTAACAACAAACTGAAATTTCAGATGGAAGGGAGGGAGAAGGGAAGACATTATCAATAAAAGATTGTGACTCTGCAAAAATGCGGAACAACTTCAAATTATGGAAATTGAATTTAACATAAATTCAAATACTAGGTGGAAAAATTTGGACGTTAGCAGCTGCGTATTTCCAACACTATTCCTATTTGTAAGAGAATTATTCAATGACAATTTGATGGAGATATAAACACTTTCAGCGTTCAACAATCTAAGGCCATTCAATTCCTCCTGCTCAACAGCACGAACTCCTGCTACTTGGTGAGATGCAGCTTTGCTTTGAATGCCCGTTGCAGAGGTGCAAAACAAATCTTTCGGAAAAATCGATAAAGACATTAGAGAAAACCAAGAAGTCATATCAGAAACAACGGCACATGAACATGAAGCATTACATACCCTATCATTTTATGGGTTTGGACAGCAGAGGAATCAGATGAAAAATGAGCCATAAAATCAACTAAAATATTATCTGTAAGAGAGGTAGGTGGGAACAAAAGGAGTCGTACCTGAGCAGAAACTGACAGAAGCGTAGGCGAAGGTGAGATCTGCGACCTACAAGCTTGGCTGCTTCAGTGTCCCTACGAGCAAGTGGCGAAAAGAGGGTTCGCATTTAGTGTGAGGCAGGCGCGGGGGAGAGAGCGATTTAACTGAGCCTTAAGGCGATGCTCTGGCGATTCCACGTGCACGGTCGTGCATTCTTGGATCTAACTGAGTCCGCAAGCAAGACAAATCTAGGCCGTTCATTCTAGGACTCCGAAGTCAATTGAAGAACTTGTCTCTTTAGTTACCATTTAAAAAGTAGTGACTTGACAAAAAAATGTCTCTAATTGATTTCTGAATGCTGATTTACAACAACTGATCAGGTGATTTTTTTGGTTCTTAAATTTTAAAAAATTAGATATTAATAGAGGTGAGGTGATTAAAAAAAAAGTTAGATTAGATGCTGAAAAAAAATTAAGATTTACAAGTTGAAACCATATCAGAAGATAACTTTTTAATCATGATTAATGAAACGAGAAAGTATGTAAGAAAAATTTTATCTATGCAAAAATATTTATAAATAATTAAGAAAAGTAGATGAAAACAAGTCATTAACATACAAATATCAAAAAAATTTGTGATTGTTAGCTTGCACACAAATAAAACATTTTTGTCTATGTATTCTTCTGATTGCACTACAAAAAAACTCTTATATTTAGGATTATTTATATTATATTCAGGACCGGATAAATACCATATACTATTCTTAATATAAGATTTAAATTAATATGTTTTCTTTAATTTAAATCAAAATTCTTACACCTCGTTTTTAATACTGCATTTTAAACGAGGCCTCGATTCTATGCCAAGGCGTCATGCGCGGGCAAAGTAAAGGCAGAGCCGCACAATCTTGCAACCTCGTTCTTCTTGTTTTTTTTTTTTGGCCAAAACTTGCAACCTTATTCAGAATGCTATAGATGATGCTTGTTTCTTTTTCCAAACTAGGTCCACGTTCAATGAGAATATCCTAAACAATAATAGAACCAAAGGAACAAAAATACTCTTGTTGTAAGTGTATACCAGGTGCACGTGACTTTTTTTGAAAAAAAGCTATTCAAAATCTTGGGCTTTGATCTTAAACTCCGCAGATTAGGGTCGAGTTTGAGAAAATGCCCACATTTTAATAAGAAGGATTATAGGGCACCCAATTCTATAGAGTCAGGCCCGTAAGGGCCGGGCTAGCCCATTTTAGTTAGCACACTCCCCTGGATGGAGCCCCCGTATACCAAATCCAAATTATCAATTTATATTAAATAATATTGACACCAAACCCAAACAAACGGCTTTTTTTTTTTTTAATTTAGTGGACCCAGAGATTTAATCATCATAATGCTTCAAATTAAGTAAAAATGCATTTTTTTACTTTTAAAAAAATTAATAAAGCAACAAATGAAGGTGACATTATTATGCGGTTTGGAAAATTCTCACACGTTACTCAATTCATGATCATAGCAAGGCGAATTGAAGGGGGTGGGTTACCTTGGAAGAGTATGAACAGTTTTAATGAGAATATTTCATCCCTGCCGGCGTGCGATGTCGTGTGGCGAGTATAGCGAATTATTAGCAAGGGATATATTCTTACAATAAGCATGTTGGCTGATGGTCAGGATATCCGACAAAATTCTGTTTTGTTCTCGTCTGCTAATTATAATCGAGGAGGGTCCAGCTTTCTTCAGATCTCATTCAAAACGGCCTTGTTTTGTAGCCTCGGTGCTCTTTCCCGGCGGCACTACTCCTCCCTCAACCTCCCTCGGTGATTTCTCCGTCACAATAAACGGCTTACATGAGTTTTAATTGCGATGATCAATGGTTGTGACGTCGAAGGCTGGGGTATACATGGTTGTGATGAAGCGTTTCAGCTCTCAATTAAAAAAAAAAAAAACAGGTTTTTCTAGCGAAGCATTAGTTTTGAAGAAACTGGTTTGCCAAAGAGGCTTTTAGGCCAAACACCCCATAATCTTTGGCGGGGAGATATACACTGCATCAGAATGCAAGGCTCCATGGACAGGCAGCGTGTTGTGGGGAAACAAAGCAAAACCACGAGTAGAAAGAAAGATGTTCAAAGAGCAACAGCTTATTACAATAAACATGATGCAAATGCAAAATACAGGCGATCAAATAAATTATTATCGGATGAGGCACGGAGAGACGGCGGGCGGATTAGCAGACGAAATGCATCAGAACTTGGAGAGGAAGTCGTAAATGAGATTGCTGGTGTCTTCTGCCGCTTCTTGATTGTTAAAGTGAGCCACTCCCTCCTGCACAAATACCTTCTCCAAACTGGGCACGTCTTTCTTGAATCCACCACCATGAATATACTCTTTCATCCCAGCCGAAGTGTACACCAGGTCTAAATCGCCCGTTATGAATCTTACCGGAACTTTATCGCTGATTCCTACTCCATTCCACGGCGAGGTCAGCTCCCAGTCTCTGCAATTTCACCCGAACAATGCAAACCATTAATAATTTGACACACTCCTGAAGCTATGCACTAATGTTAAAAGCAACATACAAGTTGAGATTTCTGTAGTAGTTTAAGCCACCAGTAAAACCCGTTTTGTTGAATTTGGCAACATAATAAGCAAGATCTTCTTGAGTGAGCCAGGAGGGCAAGTCCTCCGGAGTGTTGGGATTGAAGCCAGTCCCATACTCTCCTTTCGGCAAGATCGGGGGACCCGTTTGCCGGGTGGTGAGGATATTTTTCATCACATATGAAGTCCCAGCTCGAGCCAGCTCTTCTTCCATCTTCCTCGGTTCCTGTCAACATCACAGAATCACAATCTGCATCACAATAAAAACAACGAAGAAGCAACAGCCAACTGTTGACCATGCGACGGGAACCTGAAATCTACAGATGTAGTAATCATCCCCGAATAAGGCATGAAAGGCGTCTACGGTTCTGATTTTGGGGTTTCTGCCCAGAAAAGGTCGGAAGGGGACGCTGAGGCACACATAGGCTTTGACTATTTCAGGGCGGAAGAGGCAGAGATACCAACCGACGATGGCTCCCCAATCATGAGCAACGAGGAAGACTTGATCCACACCCAGAGAGTCGATGAGGGCGACGATGTCACCGACAAGGTGGAAGCATGTGTAGCTGGTGATGGACGATGGGGCATCGGTGTCGCCGTAGCCACGGAGATCGGGAGCCACCGCACGGAAGCCTCGGGAGCTGAGAGACAGGATCTGGTGGCGCCAGGAGTACCAGAGCTCAGGGAAGCCGTGGAGGAAGAGCACCACCGGGCCTTCTCCTTTCTCAGCCACGTGCATATTGATGCCGTTCACCTCCACCGTTCTATGCACCATACCTTCCATCTTGATCTTGATGAGCTGATTTGGTTCTGCAGTCAGAAGTGGGGGATATGGAGGCACCGATTAGAGGTTTATGCTTTATACTACCGCAACATCTCCGCTCTTCGTCGCAAACGTGACTGGGAAAATGTTTCTAATTTGGGCATTTGGCCGCTCCAATTTTGCGCTCATTTAAAATATAAATAATGCAAGGCGATGATGACATGAACTGTGAAGGTGTTTCTGGCGGCTAGCGTGGCGATTCAACATGGCCGCACGAGCAAAGTTGCAATAACTTGAAAGGCAACCAAAAAAAAAAAATTTCGGGACAAAACTGAGTTCTCCCCACCCCCCCCAATTTTTAACTAATTAAATTAAATTTCAATTCTGTAAATCCATTTGTATTTTAAAAATTATTAAATCTGAACTATCAAATTCAATTCAATAATCTATGGATTATGATTCCTCTGTTTAGCGGAAATAAGCAATTTTTGGATAAAACGGACAGTAAAGCTCGTCGGTTTTGACGTTTGTTAATTTTTTTTTTTTTAAAAAAAACCGTTCATTGGCATCCGCATGCAATGCCCAGTTACCTGTTAACGGTCCAAAACAGTACTCTATTGCTTCCAAAATAATCATATTTTCTGAAGTGAACTTATTCATTATACATTCACGTAAACATTTTTCAAACAATAATAATTTTTTATAAATTTTTTTAATTCTTGAAGGGTGAAATTTTTTGAACAATAATAATTTTCTAAAAACGTAAAGTGATAACCCCTTTGTACAGTGTATCCCATTAAAAAAATTATCTTAATGTTGACAATTGACATGTATGTGTGATAAATATAGAATCTTTTATTTCACGAGCGCAGCAGCAGCACAACGTGGAAATTTGGTAGATGTTGCTGAGAAGTGAGAACACACAAATCTTGAGGCCGCCACCAATAATTAATTTTCATTAAATTATTATATGGACAAAATGTTAATGATGGCAAAAAAAAAAAGTGTTGATTGTCTTTTTGGACAATAATGCCCGACATGATAAGTTGATCGCCAACAAGGGAAAAAAATTATCGACGCATATGAAGGGGTCCGTGATTATCCTTGCAGATCGGGCAATTTTAAAATTTTATTCGCACCTAACAATAATATGAATAAAAATTTTGCTACGCCAGCTTTCGGCTTTCATCAATGCTTTACAGCCTTTTTATGCCACTGAAATCATTCGTCTTATTTCAAGCACACAAATCACGTCTTCTTTTTATCTTATTCATGACTAAAACTTATATGCCTGATATATGTTTAATAAAATAATAATGTTTTAGAAAATAACTTGCTCGTAAAGACGGGCTATACTGACAGAATAACTGTATATTACTATATTTGGCATCCCCCCCAAAAAAAGAATTGTCTTTTGATCATGTTTCGGTAACTAAATGGACAGATCCTCTGCCGAATTTAGGCCTGTTTCAATGTAGGCCCATTCAGTGGCCGCAATATTTGAACGATGACTAACTAATGAAATGTATTATAGCAACAATTCGGGGTCCTAACCAAGGGTAAGCCTGTTGCACTGACGGCCTGGCTTCGGGCTTTCCTACCTCTTCGTCCCACTAAAACGGTCCTCATAGTCTGTATTATTTCAATTTTCAAGCACATAAATCGAGCCTTTCTTTATTTTATTAATGACTGAAACTCAATTTTCACACGCAACAAATTAATTATTATATACTCCTCCGGTCCTTATTATAAGACCCAATTTGACTTTTTATTTGGTCCTAATTATAAAACCCAATCCATTTTCTCTCTTATATTTATGCATTTTTTTCCAAAATAATCCTTCTAATAATGATAGTTTTAGCCAATATACTTAATTAGCAAGGATATTTTAGGAATAACAACACTTATTTATTATAAATAACCAACTTAACTTACTTCCTTAATCTCCTCAAATAAGTCAATTGGGTCTTATAATTAGGACCGGAGGAGTATCAATTTAATATTGCTCTCTCAATTAAGTTTACTTTTTTGGCCAAAAAAAAAAAGTTCACTTTATTTTAACACAACGGACTATACCGGCAAGCCTGAACGGGATAATTATGAGTATAAAGACGAAATCAAAGAGCAACACGCAATTCATAGTACCACACATACTAATGGATGTTGCAAATGCAAGCACAGGAGCAGGGCGAGATCAGACGCATCTATCCGAACTTGGAGAAGAATTCGTAAATGCGAAAGCTGGTGTCGTCTGCTGCTTCCTGATTGTTATAGTGAGCCACTCCCTTTTGCACGAATATATCCTCCAAACCAGGCACATCTCTCTCGAATGAACCACCATGAACGTAGTCTTTGATCCCAGGCGTGGTGTAAACCATGTCTAACTCGCCCGTTATGAACCTCACTCGAACATCTTTGCTGATTTTTGCTCCGGTCCACGGTGCCGTCAGCTCCCAGTTCCTGCAAATTCACCCCATCGACAACTCCGTTAAACAAACCATAATGAAGCCATCACTAATTTTGACTAGATCGATCGCCAAACAAAACATTACGGGTTGAGAGCTCTGTAGTAGTTCAAGCCACCGGTGAAGCCGGTCTGTTCGAATTTGGCAATATACACGTTGAGATCATGTTGAGTGAGCCAGGAGGGCAGGTCCTTTGGCATATGGGGATTGAAACCGGTGCCATACTCTCCTTTCGGAAAGATTATAGGACCCGGCTCTCGAGTGGTAAGGATATTCTTCAGCACATATGGAGTTCCGACTTGAGCCATTTCTTTCTCCATCTCCCCCGGTTCCTGTCAACACCACAGAATCACAGTAGTCTGCATTAAAACGAAAGGCGGCAACGATTTGTTAATACGCAGAAGCAAATTCAGACCTGGAATCTACAGATGTAGTAGTCTTCGCCGAATAAGTCGCGAAATTTATCTACGGTTCGGACTGTGGGGTCTCTCTTATTAGCGAGTCCGAAGGGGACACTGAGGCATACAAAAGCTTTAACTATTTCAGGCCGAAAGAGGCAGAGGTACCAGCCAAGAACGGCTCCCCAGTCGTGACCGACGAGGAAGACTTTGTCGACGCCCAGACAGTGGATGAGGGCGACGATGTCACCGACGAGTTGGAAGCATGTGTAGCTGTTGATGCCCAATGGGACATCGGTGTCGCCGTAGCCGCGGAGATCCGGAGCCACCGCACGGTAGCCGCGGTTGCTGAGATACGGGATCTGGTGCCGCCATGTGTACCACAGCTCAGGGAAACCGTGCAGAAGAAGCACGACGGGGCCTTGTCCTTTCTCAACCATGTGCATCTTTATGCCGTTCACTTCCACAGTTCTTTCCACAAATGCTTCCATCCTGATGATTTGATTTACTTGTGTGGTACCAGGCGACCGATATATGGAAGCACGACCACCCTCCCCTTTTTCTTTTCTTTTTTCCCTTTTTTTTTTTAAATTTGGGACAATAACGCATCACGTGATGAGTTGATCACCGCCAAAAACGAAAAAATGACCCAAGTGATCTTATTTTGTTGAACATATTTTTGGATGGGTGATCCTCAATGTCGCCTTGAGTCAAATTAAATTAAATTTAAAATGCAGCAAGTGATGTAAATCAAAGTCGTTCTCTTATTGGAGCCAAAAAAATTAACTAGGTCCTAAATTAACTAAAAATCAAAATTGCAATTTAAAAAGGGTTTTTCTTTTGGGGATTTTTTTATTAAAAAAAATGAAAAGATAATTTGAATTTGAAATTGAAAGAAAATTAATTAAAAAGGTAGCAAATGATAAAATTTGGATTTTAAGGAGATATGAGATAATGCTTCTTGGAAAATGGGGATTGGGTTATCCTTGCTCAAAATGATTTGGGAGTTATCTTGTTCACTAATTCAAAATCAAAACCTTAATCACTGATTAAGTCAAGTAGTCTTAATTAATAGATGTCCTAGAACTCTAGCTACAACTACCAATTAAAATTAACATTAAAAACCGATTAGTGTGCAATTAGGATTAGATTAATGCAATTCGGGTCTCTATGCAAAGAACACTCAACTTGAGATATTCAATAAGTAACATACAATTATAACATTCATCCAAACTATGAAAGAATAGCATAACCATATAGAACTCCAAACTGGATATAAATATAAATCTCAAATTGCAAAATTCAATTCTAAACTAAAAATTACAACTAATAATCTCAGAAAATTTAATTAAATAATATCAATTCTAACTCAGAAAATCCATTACCCAATTAAATTTAAAAGAATTGAAACAGAAAAACTCCCCTAATTAACTCTGAAACTCAAACCCAATCCTCCATCTCCAAGAAGCTTGATGAAATTAGCTGGACATGATTTGAGATTCTACCAACATCAGCTCAATGTGTACTTCGGCCATGGAAGAAGAATAAATAGGCGCTGTGGGTCTGGCCGATGGCAGTGACGGAGGAACTGATACAGAGAGAGAGGTTGTTCGCCGGTGTTGATGGAGGAAAAAGGAAGATGACGATGATGCTTCAGACTCGCTGGCGGTTACTCAAACAGTGAAGGTCGCAACTTGCTGCCTCCCCCGTTTCAGAGTTGATGAAGAAAGCCGAGAATGATGATGAAGGATGGCGAGGTGGCGTGTATATTGCCCTTCTCTCAGCTCTGCCGCCACTCCGAAGATGATGATGATCGTGGAACGTGCGCGTGAAGGAAGATTGGAGGTGGCGTGTGCGTCGTGGAAATAGGGAATGGAATTAGGATGATGATAATTGTGGGTGATGGTGAGTGAGTGGTGAATGGCGGATGGGTGTGGCGTGTTCTTCTCTCCCTGCGGTCGTATCTATATATATACACACGAAGGTGTGTATTCTCAAGCCTTGCCGCTACTGTTCCGTCCTTTTCTCCCTCCAGAAGGCCATGATGGTGCAACCCTAAATTCAAACCTTGCAATATCTCTCAAATTTTCTATAACAAAATCTAAGATAACGTGATATGATATTTTTTTTCAAAAAGATCAATCAGTTAAACTAAATCATAAAAAATATGATATTTTTGCCCTTTTTTAGCAATATTTTCATCCAATCACAATTAATCCAATTTAATCATAATAAATGCAATTAAGCCCAATTTAATTGATAAAAATTCCAAATAAGATATAAAAAATTAATATAAAATCAGGATTTATCAATGGGTTTAGTTAGGTTCTTGGGTTTTCTTTTAATATTCTGTTGAGTTTTTAGTTGGGCCTGTCCCTATAAATATTGGTATTATGGACTGTTATAAGTGTGAAGCAGTATTAATAGTATAAAGTAGTATTTATATTTTATTGGGTCTGCGCGTTTATCATATCTGATCCAGCTTTCATTAATTGCAATATATACGCAATTAATATTTTTTTTTTTTTTGACTTGTTATGAAATTTTACTCCAAGATGATGGGTGATTTTTATTAGATGGAAGCATCATGTCGTTGGTTGGGGGTAGAGCAACGTGTTTGATAACTCATACGAGCACTTGGAAATATACTTTTATATAAGTTGAGAAATCTCATAGGTTATAAAATCACTTCTAAAGAAACCAATTCAACTCACGTGGTTTTTTGTGCAAGCCAAGGTAATCTTAGCTTCTTATTGTGAATAATGAAGGGAACATGCCTATCTTCGTTTGCATAAAAGCATTTCTTACCAGTTTCCTAATAAGTTTTATTTCATTTGAGGCGCATCCAGGGGTGCAGTGTTTGAACGACAACTAAATAATGAATAATAATCAGAGAGTGCAGATACGAGCAGCAACTCATAAAGCGTCGTTTAACAGAATTACATGCGTGAAGGGCTGGTTTGATTTGTGGAATATTTTCATGTGAATATTTCATTTACAAAATTGAAAAAAAAAAACAGTTTTCGGTGAGCAAAAACAGTTTACTTCGGTACCTAGCATAACTAATTTAAAATGTTGATAAAAACTGCAAGTTGGGTAATGAAAATAACATTAGAAAACTGGTGAAAGTGAAAAATTCCATCACCATGGGCATTATTGGGATTCACATATTGCGGAGGTTTTTACTCTTTCCAAATGAATACAATTAAAATCACATGTTTATAACAAGTATTGCGCATATACATGTCTCCTACAGTTCAATATAATGGCGTTGGCTTTCAAATTTATGCAGGTGAAGAGGAGTTAGATAAGCAAAGTAGCAAGTCGGGAAACACAAAGCACGGCTATATATGAGTGGAGACGTGAAATCTAAGAGCAATAATATTCCTCCGGTCCTTAATATAGGACTCAATTGTTGAGTTGGGTTTGGTCCTAAATATAAAACCCATTTCTCATGTTTATCAATTTTCTCTAAACTACCCCTATGGATACTCCCTCAACCATAATCAAATAGAAGAGGAAGATGAGATATTAAGAAAGATGATTATGGTGTTTTAGGAAAAATATGTCATTTTTCTTATAATTAACCAACTTACCTAACTTTCTTAATCTAATCAAATTAGTTAAATGGGTTTTATATTAAGGACCGGAGGAGTATATTATAATACTCTTCATTAGCTTAAACAAGCATGCTGGTGGAAACGAAATCACAATTATGAGTAGAATGACGAAATCTAAGAGCAACACACAATTTATTAGCATTAAAAAATCATGGATGTTGCAAATGCAAACGCAGGCGGGCAATCAAAATTATTGAATCAAGCATGGAGAGGCAGGTGGTGGAGGAGGAACGGAAGATCAGATTCATTAGAACTGGGAAATGAATTCGTAAATGCGAAAGTTGGTGTCGTCGGCTGCTTCCTGATTGTTAAAGTGAGCCACATCTCTCTGCTTAATTATCTCCAAATTGGGCACATCTTTATGGAAATCACCATGATCAATATAGTCTTTCACCTCAGGGATAGTGTAAACCAGGTCTTCGTCGCCCGTTATGAACCTGACTGGAACATCTTTGCTGATCCCCGCTCCAGTCCACGGTGCCGTCAGCTCCCAGTTTCTGCAAAGTCACCCCCCCCCCCCCAAATTAGAATGAACCGCATCGGTGAAACAAACCTTGAAGCCATGCATATGGATATAATTTTGACTAACGAAACAAAACATTATGAAAAACCAGAAAGGAACATACAAGTCGAGAGCCCTGTAGTACTCCTCTTGTTCTTGATATAAGACTCATTTAATTAATTTGATGAGATTAAAAAAGTTAGGTAAGTTAGTTAATTATAAAAAATGTGACACGTTTTTCCTAAAATACCATAATCATCTTTCTTAATACCCCTTCTTCTTCTTCTACTTAATTATGGTTGAGGGAGTATCTATAGAGGTAATTTAAAGAAAATTGATAAATATAAGAAATAAGTCTTATATTTAAAATTAAAATTAACTCAACAATTGAGTTTTATATTAAAGACTGAAAGAGTAGTTCAAGACTCCGGTGTTTTTCAGTGTGTCCACATGTTCCTGGAGGTCCTCTTTAAGGAGCCAGGAAGGCAAGGCACGCCCTTTGGCGTATGGGGATTGAAGCCAGTCCCGTACTCTCCTTCTGGCAAGATTATGGGGCCCGGTTCTAGAGTGGTGAGGATATTCTTCGCCACATAGTCAGTCACCGCTGAAGCCATTTGGCACTCCACCTCCCCCGGTTTCTGTCACAATCTCCATTAATTAAAACAAAACCAAAAAACACACAATAAAGCCGAAAAAGTTCGCAGGAAATTAAAACCTGGAATCTACAAACGTAGTATTTGTGGCCGTATAACCGAAGAAAGTTTTCTACGGTTTTGACTTTGGGATCTCTTACAAACAACTCCAAAGGGGACACTGAGGCACACAAGCTTTGACCCTTTCAGGGCGAAAGAGGCAGAGGTACCAACCAATGATCGCTCCCCAGTCATGACCGACGTGGAAGACTTTATCGACGCCGAGAGAGTCGATGAGGGCGACGATGTCCCCGACGAGGTGGAAGCATGTGTAGCTGTTGATTTCCGAGGGGATTTCGGTCTTGCCGCAGCCGCGGAGATCTGGAGTCACCGCACGGTAGCCGTTGTCGCTGAGAAACTTGATCTGGTTGCGCCATGAGTACCAGAACTCAGGGAAGCCGCGTGCAGAAGCAACACCACTGGGCCGCGACCTTTGTCAACCACGTGCATCTTGATGCCGTTCACTTCGATGAATCTCTGCGGAAATGCTTCTTCCATCTTGAGACGGCGATCTGATTTGCTTCGTGTAGTCACGAGTGAGCTATATATGGACGCAAACCCAGTAGGCCTCTATATACAACTGCGTCCACCCTTCATTTCACTGCAAACTTTCACCGGGAAAATGTTTTAAAAGTGCAGTGTCAGCCTTTCACTTATTTGAATAATGTAATGTGGGGGGGG